TTAATTAACGGAACCCAAATCAACCACTATTAATTTTTCCTCTACTTCCAATCGAACAAAGGTTTTGGATGCTGTACAAATAATTAAATTATCTGTACGGGAACGGCTACAAACGGTAAATTACTTACAGTATCTTGATTTCCTTATCGGCGGCTGTTACAAATTAAAGCAATTACTTTTATCTATTTTCAACTCGTAGAATAAAATAAATAGATTCAGAACTACAAATTCCTAAAAAAAATAGGAGGCATTAGTTTTGGAACGACTACACTAAACTACCACAACTTAAATTGGCATAAGCTATAAAAAATGTACACCTGTCTTGTCTAAATCGAAGAATAACCCTTTGCTCAAGCCATTTCCGAACTTAACAAAATATGTGCAATTTAGTAATCATACTGTACTACTATTATACAAGACTGTGAAGGGATGATTCCCTTAGTTTCGCTCTCGGTTTCGCTTTATCGTCGTGTATAATACAAAACTTTATTACATAGTGGAAGCCACAGAAATCATTATAGATCACTATAGAAGTTGAAAATTCTGAGGTATTTAATTTAGACGTCCAAAATAGCAAACTTAGGTCGTCCGGTCGTTTCCATAGAAACAATATTGCATTCTTTTCTGAACATCATTTTATTTCATGCTCGGCGTCTCATTTGTAAGAAGAATGACAGGTGTCATTGGAATGCACAATGATTTGTTTCACTTTATTTACTCTTGCCGTTAAAGTGATCACTTTATCTACCCTTCCAGTTAAGAAGCCACTTAGTCTACTCGTTCAAACCTATTAAAATGTCAATTTAACTTTAACATCCGCTGTAAAATGAAGATGATATTAAAAAATCGTATTGAGATAATCTCCTGTAGAATTTATTTCAATATCAAGATATGATCCGCCGCTAAAGAAATCGGCATCATTTGAATATGCTAACACTAGAACATGGACGAGTGCCAAAGCGGTGAGATTAAATTTGATGTGGTACTGGCTATGCCCTGTTTGAATTTCATGCAATTTGGTTCATAAATGGCCGAGATGGCAAAAATTATCAAAGTCCTCATGTGAGATCGAAGGGACATTGGCGCATTTTTGTGTGGCAGATTAGTATTCTATTAGCCATATTCCCTTTGTTGGTACCCACTTCCGATGTCCCGTTCATCCGCAATTCGATTTTGAAGTTTTTACAAATAAATTTGCAAAAATGCGCTAAAACTGCACTGTGAATGTTCAATCGATTGGGCTCAACTTTTGGCATTGCGTATTATATCGCTAAAGCTATGCTTAGTTTGAATTTCATGCAATTCGGTTCATAACTAACGGAGATGTCAAAAAGGCCAAATAAATATAAAAAATATAAGCGTCTCACTTAACAACTAAAGGTTACAAGACTTTTAATTAAAACCACATTATCAAAAACGGGACACTGACTTTACTCTTTTAATTGCGGAACTGCGTGTTTCAAACGTAAACGGCGAAAACCTGCTCGTAATATTAGCGCAACATTGACATACGCTTCTTTTAATCGGCCCGCATTACGGCCAGACAGCCTCCTTAGTCTAATCAGCATCGTTTTTTCATTCTTCGTATTTGAAGGTCAAGCCACCTCCACTCTTCCATTCCATCTCGTTCTTCCAATCACAATTTAACAACTTTTCCAATTCCTATTAAATAAATTCAAACTACTGACTGCTATTTCCATTGCGTAAATCGGAAATTACGTTGGCAACACTTAAATTTTTCACTTCAGGGTGCCTCGCTCTCATCTTCAGCATTATTTCAACCTAGAGAAACGACACCTCCCTGTAGTTTACACAACAATATGGAAATCATACTGTTTTGTTATTTAGATATCTTTAATTTTGGACGCAAATCTAAACAGAGCACATAAAACTACACAAGTTTGTCCATTTCTAATTTGAAGAACTTCCTTTCTGTAGTATAAGCACAAAGTGAACTCAATTTATAACCAATGCAATATAAGAGATGCCAAAACGAAAATATTTAAATGAATTAATATGATAGCCTGATCTTTTATGTTTTAAGAAGTTATTTTAGTTGCATAAAACTAGGCGCCCTTCAGAAAGATTTTGTCATTTAACAGTAGACAGGGAAAAACAATATGGGTAAATCCCTATGTCTACTTCTTAATAAATAGCAGTAGCAGTGTATAACAATGACTTTTGCAAATATATGGCTTGTTAAGTTCCATCACACTATTTGTATTCTTTGGTGAAGATTTACAGTAAGCCACTCAACTGTGGAATACACACGCAATGTGGCCACATATTCAGCAAAGTGTACTTGTATTTAAAAAATGTGAAAGATGCCAGGTACCATATCTACTTATAGGTTGATTTTTGACTGAACCTATAGGTGGTATTTGTTAATATAATAGATAACACTTATTATTTTTTTTATCAGTTACAAGTCGCACTTCAAACTGGTCAACCACAACCAAATTTCGACAATGGCAATTTAGTGTTTCCAAACGAAGATGATATCGATGCGGCTCTAACGGACTTACAGACCACCTTGGAAGGTTCCACCATCAACTCCCAGACCAACGACATTACGCAAGTTCCAGAGTTGTACGACGAATTACGATTTTTGAAGTGAGCTGTATGAATTCAACAAAATTTAATAATGTACGGAAATTTCAGACCAAAACGTTTTACGCTGAAGGCGTTTAAAAAGTACTGGTTTACTTGTCGTGACCTGCACTTGTACCTGTATAAAAGTAGAGAAGAGATGATTCATCATGGTAATCCGGCACACTCCATAAATTTGAAAGGATGCGAAGTTACTCCAGATGTGAATATAAGCCAAAATAAATACGGAATCAAATTGGAGGTACCGAGTTCCGAAGGAATGTCAGAAATGTACATTCGATGCGACAATGTAAGTGCTCGATCCTTTATGTAACCACCCGTATTATAGTTAATTACCTTTAGGAAA